AGCGCGCACTCCGACCGGAATTTAGGAACGCGTTCCGCAGGAATTTTTAAACGGATGTCGCTCGCGCGGAGTTACGCGGAGGAATAAAAGAACGCACCCCTCCATTGCTCAGACAGTTTCGTTTCAGTGTCCATTATGTGGTTTTATAAATGACAATTTATAAGTTGTGAAAGCGCACGTTAGTGTACAATGATGATGTAAGTGTCATCTCAATTTTTTTTTTTTCGATTGGTAGCAGTTATTCTAATTTTTTCGTGACTACTTTAAATACTGTGTCGGCAAGATAATCCATTTTATAGTTAAATTTTACAATTGGGACGCTTCTTTTAACTTTTGTCTCTAAAAACGCATATTTTAAATTCATAGATACCTCCATCACGATACTATCGATAGTACGGACGCCGACATTTCTTCCTTTCATCATCGTTTCTAAATGCCTAAAAACAGCAGCTCACTCCCGTAGTAGCTGAGACGAAGAGCGATCGTTTTAACGAACGCACCCATTCAGGCTTAAACCATAAAATGAAATATTGCTTTGTTTAACTGGCAGCACTCTCAAGTATGCAATGGGTCACATGGCAGGATCCAATTTTCGCACATTTCAGGTGAGCCAGATCTGTAATACGATCGCATAGATCAGGATTTCCCAGACTTTTTTCACTGTCGATTCCTTCAAGGATTCTTCGCCTTTTTTTATCAATCTCCTTTTTTTTCTTTTTTTTATTAATGTATAAATAAACAAATCCGGTAAGTCAGTATTAATTCACACAGTTTTCATAAAAAACAGCTACTTACGGTGTCCAAATTTACAATATCCAGAACTGTGATATAGAAATAATAATTTTTTAATTAGTCCCATTGGACTAATAATTTTTAATGAACCAGTTTCAATGGATTTCCCGAAAATATCCTATATTATCGACCCCGGCATAGACGAAGAAAGAAAAATGACATTCTGATTCGAGCTATCCATAATAAATTAAGAGGATTCTAAAAGATTCGAACCCTAGTCATGTATAGTAGGCTTATTACAAGCCATTTGACAGACAAAAAAACATATATATCAAAAGAATTTCATTCTAAGCTATTTGAATATATTTTATGATAAAATTCAATCTGTGTATAAAAAATACATTTCTACAGTAAACGTAACTACATAAGAACCTATTTCCCTTAATAATTTTTTATCAAAGACAAATGCATTTACTATAAAAATTACGAAATATCGACTAGTATTTAACTACACGTAATAAAATCACTATTAAATAGATTTACCCACAAATTATGTAATTAATTATAGTATTTATTATGTAACTTTAAATAATTCTTAGTTGAGAAAAATATTTAAAATCTAACAGATTACATTACATTCTTTCATAACGAAAAACTCCGGAAGCTTTAAATGAAAATTAATTATTATTGTTTACTATATACAATAGGAAAATTTTGAATTATTATTCTGTATTAACGACCCTATAGCCATTATTTATTCCGGATAGTCAAATAGGATATCGTTCCACATTCTTCAGTTATCTCGTCGACCCCACTGAGAATAAGGTTCCCTGGAATGAGCAATCATTGAAACCGGAAAAATCAATCAATCATCGATTATCTATTAATATTATAGTAAATTTGAAGATTCCGTATGTATATATGTTTTAAATTAAAACACTTAATAATATTATCTTCTAATATTCGAAGTAAATGAAACAATTAAATTTATGCATTTTAAGTTCAAATTTAATGGCCCTTACTTGTTCGTACAAAGTCATTTAAATGTATCAGTAACTATTTTCAAGCTTTTAAGTTTCATTTAATTTTGTTTAAACATTTCGCAAGTGTTTACACACGAAAACAAACATTCTGTTTTTAATCTATAATAATGAGTGCTTTCATCATATTGATGCTGAAAAAACAAAACCAAATCAAAAGTACAAATTTTATACTTCTGCAAATAAGATATTGTTACAATAACAAGATTATTATTTAATTTATTTTAGATAAAAATCAATTTTTCTTTATTCTAATTCTGTAGCGATTCTACGAAAAAAAAAGTATTTTTCTACAAATATTTAAGCTAAAATAAACCTATGATATATCACAGAATTTTTTAACTAGTACCATTCCAAACTATGTAATTCCCCACTACTTAAGACTAGAGATAAATACTGGTTTTAATCATTTCAAATTATAAGTTCTACAGAAAAAGAATGCGGATTTGACCACCGGCAAAACTCGGATTCGAGTATCCGAAATCAACAAAACCTAAAATCTGCTAGAATTCCTTTAGTTTTATGATAAAAATATAAGAAAATCGTATCGTAAGTATTTTCTAATTTAAAAATGCTATCAATTACTATTTTAAACGCTAATAAATTATAAAACTTTTTTTAATTATTAAAAAAAGTTTTTATAAATATTTAAAGCTATCAGTTGAAAAACCGAGGATTAACTCAATCAATTAAACTTATTAGTGAATGAACATGAATACATTAAACTAAGAATCATTGACACGAAATATGAAAGGCCTTATAGCGTGAGAACATACGAAGATTTCAAACAACTTTCATTATCTCATATAATGATCAATATTCAAATAAAAACTCCTTAGAATAATTTCCGCTTGAAAGAATAATTGAACGATACTTGAACTTTCAATGCTATTCATTAATTGTTTTGATAATTCATTGATTGAATGGCACCAAATAGAGGACGAGAATTTTTGCAGACGAAACGAAGACCGGTATATACAAAAACGTTTAATTAACAGCAAGCAGTAAGGTGAGTGAAAGTTTCGGATAGAGTATAAGAAAGATAGAAAAAAAAGCTGTTCATTGTTGACAATGACAATCAACTACTCGACTTCACAGCCCGAAGCTAGAAGCCACACAATACCCATTATAGCTTCAACAACTCGCAACCATTATGGTCTCACGCACTCGGAATATACCTTAAATATAATGCGCAGGTAAGTTATTATTTATAACCGAGTTTGAGATTGTTAAAAAGCTATTATTTTTCCCAATAGGTTTATCAATGATTAAAAATGATTTCATCTTTTTAATATACGCCATCGTCATATCATAAAATGAAAAAGTAAGAATAATTAAAATGCATTAGAAATTGGGGACATACATTTAACTAAAGTCATTTAAATGCAGATGAAGCATAAAATTTACTAAACAGGAAAATTATACACCGGAAATACTTGGATTTTTATTACGTCAGAAAGGAAACATAAATATTAAAATAAAAACATTTTGGTTATTATTAAACTGAGAAAATATTTGGTACATCTCAACTCTAGTTTTAATTTTATATTATTTACAAATATAGTATTTTAAAAATACAGAGGAAAAAAGTTCTATAAATTGATCATATTTACTTTAACCAAGAAATAATTAAATGTTATCAATAAAAAAGTTTACATTCTATTTCTAATTAAAATTACTTTTACAGCTATTTTATGGCCTATTATTTTTACAATAGTTAAAAAAAAAAAAAAAAATAGTATTGTCTGACTAAGAAAATGGACTAGGAGGTCAGAACGGAGGAGAGATGTGTCAGGGAAGCAATTAGTGGGTGCTGGTAGAAACAATTAATTCTCTTGAGGAGGGATGAACTGAGGGAATATTTAAGGACCTAACCGTACAGGTTACGTACAGAAAAGGTCATTTACATTTGAAATCTGCTTTCACACATCAAACTTGAACATTACTTTTAAATCTTTGCAAATATTTCTGTACCTAGACGGCGTATAGGCCGTTGCTCCGTTCAGGTTAAAGTTCAACGTTTTTATCAGGCATTAGATTAAAAGATAGCGTTAAATAGTGATAATCGGATTTTTACTGGCCACTAGAAGAAAGATGCATGTTTAATCATTCTTACAAGCCTCCAGTATGTGAAGATCGCATTAACTGACTGCACCGTGTAATTTCATCTCTGTAGCCCTGAGCCCTTGGGAACGGTCTGACACACCCTCTCCAGGGTTTCTCTACGGCCTCTTTGTTGTGAAATTTTTACAATAAACTACAGAGTATTTCCCCCATGGTCATTTGTAAATTTTTTCACATTTAAAAATTGGAAATGAATTTTTTTCGTTAAATGTCATACCGCGTTCAAATAACTGAATGTAAGCTTTGTTGTGATGCCCAAATAGGATTAAATGTTAGCAATGAAACGGTTCAATATAAAACTGTTAAGATTTATTATTACACATTCCAGATTTAGCTTTTCAACTACTGAAGTGATATCAGTTTACGAAACTTAGTAGCCTTTCCTACTGGAATCTCTTGGGCGGGGTTTCTCCTCCTGTGAGATTCCGGTTTTTTAATGATTTATTTTCTTGAAGCTATATATTTTGAATTACCGAGTACTCGAATCAATAAATCTGTATTTCATTTCCTAACTCTAAAAAACTAACTGGTTTTATAATATATGTTTTAACTCCACAGTTATTCGTTCAACGTATCACGTCTGAATATGTATTTTTAACAGCAAAATAAATCGAGGATTTTTATACTCTATATTACATTAACAGATACCGGTTTAAACTTCAAATTTCAACAAATGCATATTTATTTATGCAGGAGTTGTTTGAGGAACAAGTTACTTTCATCTGAAAGAAAGTTCATCGTTAAGACACCTGCTGGATAAGAATGACCCAGGTGTTTTTTCTTTTGTAACGTAACTAAAGCATTACATACTAATTACGGAGGAAAACAATCATCTTTCTCGATTTCCGATCTGTGAGTGATTTTTTTCTCTAGTATATTTCTTAGAATTTTACTTACAAAGAATTTTCACTTTTGGAAAAAAACAAACAAAATTATTTTCTTATGTAAAAATGAATACAAATTTCGAGAACAAAACATTAAATCATAAAATATTTAAATTAGAAAATTAAATTTAAAGTTAATTATTAAGAAAACATCTACATATTATTTATTATGAAATTGATTAGATAATCTAGAAAGTAATTATTTCGAGATATGACTTACCTGTATTTCTTGAATCAGCTCTGTTTCATCCAGCAAAACGATTTTACAATGATAGCTCTTGATTCTCTTTCCAAAACATTTCATCTTGACTATTATTCAACTTCGAAATTCTTATTTAAAGTACTTTCAACTAGAAAGGCATGTTGTGAATCAAACAACGATTTTTATACTCGAACATGTCACATGTGTATGAAGTGTCACGACCTTTTTACTCGATGCATTCACTCGTACAGTCACCTGTCATTTTTCAAGACGATATCTCGTTTATACAACCTTATCCTTCAAACCAACAAATTTGCGTCACTGGAATGGAAACGAGTGAGACAAGTAACTATTGCTTTTTACACAACAAAACCGACTAATCCACTTCACAGAAACACTCCGCATAAAACTTAAAAACTTATAATAGTTTTCTTACGCTTCTGCCATCTGGCGGTGGCAACGAAAATCATTTGCGACTTGTAACGTGACCGTGCGCGTGGAACTTTGGGATATTGTCTTTTACACGTTAGCCATGGACGAGGTAAGATTGTAATTTTAATCCATATTAATCTTTGATTAAACGCTTTGTTAATACAAAATTACATTCACTGTATATAAAAATGTAGTCGAAAATTAGTTTTCGTTATAAATATTCCTACATATAACTGTAATGAATTCACATCGTGTTATTTCGATGGTGTGGTTTTAGGCCTATCGAAATTCGTTTTAAGATTTTTATACAATATTATAAAAGTAAGATCCGAGAATAAAGACTGAATAATTATGGGAAGTAATTATATATAATGGTTTTTACAGAATTTTATATTATTAATAATAATTTTCTCTGGATTGTAGTGTTTAGTGACCAGAAATCGCAGTTTTCTCGTTAAACAGAAATATGGATAATATTTAACTAAGGAAATGTGAAAAATGAATAATAATTGTTCTGTACACAATATGAAAATAAATCTTTAGACATATCTTTTTTTCTTAACAAAAGATTTTAAAAAGAAAATGGAGCTGATTTATTATTTTGCACGTTTATAAACAGTGAACAATGACTTCATATTATAAAGAGAAATTATTGTTAATTAATTAATGAATAGTTTTAAAAGTTACTATTGAATTATACTAGCATACTGGATTTATTATAACTTATTTTAGGTGTTACAACTGGTGGTATATTACTAAAATAAAATATACAGGGGGGGTGCAAAAGTAGGTACACAGTTGTTATGGAAAAAAACAAAGAAAAACATTTATTTTATGTACAAATTAAATCACAAATAAGGAATACGAACTAATAATAATGAACACCAGAGATTTGTATTTCTCAGATTCTCAACTGTATACCTACTTTTGCACCCCCTGTATATTGGGTACCAAGGTAGTAAGTAATATAATATATGTTTCTATATTCAATGGTTGGCTCAACAGTCAGAAAACGTTTCTAAATGGACTGTTGAGACTGACATCAGCGATGTTTCACTGTTGAGCTCAATGACCTGAAAGACTTGAGTATTCAAAAACTAACATGGCTAGCTTCCATGAAAAAATAAATTTCGCTTATAGAAAGTATCCATTTGCTCTTGTGGATGCTGTAATAGCAGACAGATTAATGAATGATCTATATATGATAAAATGTGATTGCACGATTATGTTAGATAATTTGGTCAATATAGTAGAACATCGATTATCCAATTCAATTGGGGACTGGGGTTGGTCTGATAACCGAAAAGTATGAAAAAATACATTATTAGTATAGTAAATTAGTACAGTGGAACCTCGGTATACGACCTTAATCCGTTCCTGGTGTTTGGACGTATACCAAACCAACCTTTCCCATAAGAAGTAATGTAAAAATGATCAATCCGTTCTCATGAAAAAAAATGGCTGGCTTTAAACACCTCACTTTTCTGGCTAGTTCGTGCTTGATTTTTCATGAGATCAGCATGTATCTTTTTAGCTTTCTTGCAAATAATTGCTTCTGATACACTCGCCAGCACACTGTTTTTCAGTTATCCAAAGCAAAAGCAATTTCTCNAGTCCGTAAACTTGACACGTGTCGGGCTGTGATTGGAACGACTTGTAAGAAATCGGATTCCTAATAAATTGGAACGTATCTATATCTTATAGGGGGGTCGACTGTATAAAGAATTTCAGAAATTCACTTTTTCAGTATTTTACTATACATTGGTAGTAAAGCACTAGGATGTAGGCCTATTATTGATCTAAAATTGATCATTACAAGTGTATCTCGCTTGTAATGTAAGTAGCAAAAGAGGCAACTCAAGTGAAGGATCATATAAAGTTTGTCTCCACAATTGGACTAAATTATAAAAGTTCAAATCGGATTTGAATGCAGTTTCCTCATAATGATAGAATATTTTGCGGTCTTCGGATAAGTGAGAAATTTGAACGACGCATCGGCCCGAACTATCCATGAAAATTAAATAGGTTTGGATATGACTGGAACTCTGTTCCTCACAGTAATGATTTATAGACCAAACAGTTACTGTGCAGTCAGCTGTTTATAACTGTAAAACAATTACAGAACCACATTGTAAAGTTTATAATTTAACAAGCCATAGCTTTTAAAAAATGGAAATTACTTAAGTGTTATAAATAGCGTTCAAATTCGTTGGTTTCATAAACCAGTAGTATCCAAACTACAGTCCCTGGCCAAATCTGGTTTATAGCACATGTTAATCAGGCTCGTATCCATTTGATATAGCACTTACAGAAATAGGTTTAATTTTTTGAATGTACGAAATATACAAAATATATGTAGCCCATATATTTTGTATATGTAGCCGCATATATGTCATAGGTAGGTACTGTACCTATGACATATATGCGCAATTTGGCCCGCCAATCGAAAAGTTTGGGCACCACTATTATAAATGATAATTACATAAATAAAAACTATTGTTTATGTTTTTTATACTGTACTTCTATTTATCATAGGCTAACTAATGACTAGTAATATTAATAATTAACAAAATTCATAATAGGAGTTCAGTATATAAAATCGTTCAGTTTTTTCTTTTTTTTTTATTTTACGGATGATATCCATATTTTTTTACTTTTGAATTATTTATTTTTCTTATCAGTTATGAAATTTCGAATCATGTAAAGAAAATAAATTGAAAAATTAAGAAGCCAAGTTTCTTGGGGACGAATAAATCCGAATATTTCTAAAAATAATTTTTCAATTAAAAAAAATTAATTTATAATCAAATGATTGTTTTACGATTCATTGGCGCGAAACACTAGAACACAACAAACCAATGGTGTTCAATATGATGATTTACAGATTAATGCCCGTCTGTGAGCCATTCACTTCAGATCCAGAGTTTCCAAAAAGGAAAACATGATATAAAATAATACTCTATTTTCAAAAACCATATTGTTTAGTTTAGTTTGTTTATTTATTAAGTGGTTTTATCCGTTCGGCCAATGGTGGACTAAAAAACCACATGATATTGATAATTATGTCGAACTGCAATAGTCTATATACATCTAAATATAAAAAGATTGTTAAGAGAGTTCTCTAGCACTCGAATAAAATAATGCATTAATACGACAAAAATCTGGTACTAATTCCTGGCAAATTGAAAAATATATTCCCAGTCTGCTACATCAACTAGTTTAAAAAGCGGTACTATAGACAATATGATCGGCTCCAATTTTATCGAATAAAAAAAGTCACTCGTGATGGAATCAATTAGAACAGAAAAAATGAAGAACAATACTCGATTCGAGCTTCCCTTAAAATACTATTACAGCACGGACATTCAAACTTGATTTTTGAAAGTATAGGCATGGAGCACAGGAAAAAATGAGATAAATTTTAAATACTGTATTCTCGTTCTTAAATCTAAAAGTTTTCTTCATTTTACGTGTTCGATTTAACACAATAAACACGGAGATACCGTACTTCATCGATTAAACTGGAGGTTTATTTTTAAAACATATAAATTGCTTCAAGGTCGGAGTAAATCCCGACCTTAGGTACCTTGCAACAGGAGATGACTCAGTAAAAATTGAAATAAATACCTTAATTACCCGTAGATTTTCTGAACTATAAAAATCATTTATTGACTGTATTTATGGGATACAGCTACATTTGAAAGAATTACTGTTTTCCAAGTTAACCGAATTAGAAGACGCTGAATCGGGTTATTTCGATGTCATTTGTGTCTGCTTCGATGTTGTAGAAATCAAGATCTTAACTATTATCTGGTTAAAACGCACCATCTCTTTTGGAAAGAGATGGTGAGTTGGAACCAGAGTTTTGCTAATTATTCTTCGGCAGATAAGCTCACTACTTTCCTCAACATTCGACAATATTTATAATTTTATTTCAAAATATGTTTCCGTGAACTTTGAAATAGAAATTGCTATCTGACGCTAATCTGAATAGGTAGAATTTTAGTTAAACTTTTTACCCGTTACTCTAAATTACATTATCATATACAGTATAGTATATTTTTACGTTTCCCATTCTTTTCAACCCGACGTTGCGAGGAAATGCGGTTTTCTACTTTAAATAGTATAAAACCATAAAACCCAGTTTAATTTGAGCTACATTAGATACCTTCTCTTAAACATTCAATATTTTAATTTTTTCGGCATTTTGCATTCATATTATTACTTAAAAGGCAAGAAACTGTATCTATTGTACAGTATTTTGGAAAAATTTTCAGAGATTTATTATAATAATGACAGCTATCTAATAATATCTATTTAGTTCATTAATTTTCAAATGGCAGTGGCGTAGCGTAGTGGGGCGGAAAAATTTCACAATAAATAATAATGATATCTTGTAAAAATTTGAACCATTTCATTTCATATTTTTGTCGCACCTACGATTCGGACCGATTGAAACGAGCACGTAATTTTTCATTACTTATTCTGTGACGAAACTGAATTTTAGTCTTTTAAATTGAGATAACCTAAATAAGGGGGCGGCGAAACTTTCCTCCGTCCCGGGCGGCTGACACCCACGCTATGCCACTGTCAAATGATTATCCGTTAATTTCTTAATGGTCATGCTGTTTGTTGCATTCTGGAATAAAAATCTATTGTAATTTTAAGTTGTAAAAAGTTTTTAGACTTTTTTTGTTTTACGTCATTTACTATTATTTCAGTTTTAGTTTAGTTTAGTTTTATTAACTTGTTATTTTTTTTTGTTTTTTTTTTTTGCATATTTTCTTTGGTGGTAAAAAGATATTGACGCAAATGATCGAATTTATGCCGAATTATTACACAAAATCTCAAACTTCAGTATTAATTATTTTTAAAGTTGAATATTAATATATTAGTAAAATTCTATTTTTCAAGTGAAAAAATTTTTTATTATTATATATTGATCTTAGTGAAGTTAAATGATAGGGTGCGTTCTTTTATTCCTCCGTATAACTCCGCACAAATGGCATTCGTTTAAAAATTCCCGCGAATCGTGTTCTTATATTCCTCGAAAGTGTGCGCTGTCGGGCTGCAAAAACAGCCGTTCGTAGTAGCAGTTTACGGGAAAGCAACATGGCGTCCTCGGGTGCGTTCGTTAAAAGCGGTCGCTATGCGTCTCCGCTACTACGGGAGTGCGCTGCTGTTTGTAGGCATTTAGGAACGACGGTGAAAGAAAGAAAGGACTCCTCTGTATTGGCCTCAGGCAGATATGTCCTCGAGGTATCATATACACCTTCTAGAACAGTATATTCATCGTTCGGGTCGCTTCACCTAATAGGTGGCGCTGCAATTCGGAGAAAAAGCGATCATAGGCTGCATTCTCCATATAAACGAGAGAGAGAGAGAAAGAAAGAAAGAAAGATGGCGGCGCCCGCACTATCGATAGTATCGTGACTGAGGAATCTATAGTTGTAAAATATGAGCTTTTAAAGGCAAAAGAAGAGTCCCAATTGTAAAATTTAACCATAAAATGGATTATTTGTTGAAAGAGCATTCAAAATAGCCACGAAAAAATTAGAATGCCGGCTATCATCCGAAAAAAAGTCGAACAGACACTTACATCACCGCGTGGGCACTAACCTGCGCTTTCACAACTTCTAAATTTTCATTCATAAAACCACATAATGGACCCCCGAAACGAAACTATCTGAGCCATGGAGGACGCCATGTTGCTTTCCACCGCAAACTACTGCCACAAGCGGCCGTTTTTGCCGTTCGACGGCGCGCACTCCGACCGGAATTTAGGAACGCGTTCCACAGGAATTTTTAAACGGATGTCGCTCGCGCGGAGTTACGCGGAGGAATAAAAGAACGCACCCCTCCATTGCTCAGACAGTTTCGTTTCAGTGTCCATTATGTGGTTTTATAAATGACAATTTATAAGTTGTGAAAGCGCACGTTAGTGTACAATGATGATGTAAGTGTCATCTCAATTTTTTTTTTTTCGATTGGTAGCAGTTATTCTAATTTTTTCGTGACTACTTTAAATACTGTGTCGGCAAGATAATCCATTTTATAGTTAAATTTTACAATTGGGACGCTTCTTTTAACTTTTGTCTCTAAAAACGCATATTTTAAATTCATAGATACCTCCATCACGATACTATCGATAGTACGGACGCCGACATTTCTTCCTTTCATCATCGTTTCTAAATGCCTAAAAACAGCAGCTCACTCCCGTAGTAGCTGAGACGAAGAGCGATCGTTTTAACGAACGCACCCATTCAGGCTTAAACCATAAAATGAAATATTGCTTTGTTTAACTGGCAGCACTCTCAAGTATGCAATGGGTCACATGGCAGGATCCAATTTTCGCACATTTCAGGTGAGCCAGATCTGTAATACGATCGCATAGATCAGGATTTCCCAGACTTTTTTCACTGTCGATTCCTTCAAGGATTCTTCGCCTTTTTTTTATCAATCTCCTTTTTTTTCTTTTTTTTATTAATGTATAAATAAACAAATCCGGTAAGTCAGTATTAATTCACACAGTTTTCATAAAAAACAGCTACTTACGGTGTCCAAATTTACAATATCCAGAACTGTGATATAGAAATAATAATTTTTTAATTAGTCCCATTGGACTAATAATTTTTAATGAACCAGTTTCAATGGATTTCCCGAAAATATCCTATATTATCGACCCCGGCATAGACGAAGAAAGAAAAATGACATTCTGATTCGAGCTATCCATAATAAATTAAGAGGATTCTAAAAGATTCGAACCCTAGTCATGTATAGTAGGCTTATTACAAGCCATTTGACAGACAAAAAAACATATATATCAAAAGAATTTCATTCTAAGCTATTTGAATATATTTTATGATAAAATTCAATCTGTGTATAAAAAATACATTTCTACAGTAAACGTAACTACATAAGAACCTATTTCCCTTAATAATTTTTTATCAAAGACAAATGCATTTACTATAAAAATTACGAAATATCGACTAGTATTTAACTACACGTAATAAAATCACTATTAAATAGATTTACCCACAAATTATGTAATTAATTATAGTATTTATTATGTAACTTTAAATAATTCTTAGTTGAGAAAAATATTTAAAATCTAACAGATTACATTACATTCTTTCATAACGAAAAACTCCGGAAGCTTTAAATGAAAATTAATTATTATTGTTTACTATATACAATAGGAAAATTTTGAATTATTATTCTGTATTAACGACCCTATAGCCATTATTTATTCCGGATAGTCAAATCGGATATCGTTCCACATTCTTCAGTTATCTCGTCGACCCCACTGAGAATAAGGTTCCCTGGAATGAGCAATCATTGAAACCGGAAAAATCAATCAATCATCGATTATCTATTAATATTATAGTAAATTTGAAGATTCCGTATGTATATATGTTTTAAATTAAAACACTTAATAATATTATCTTCTAATATTCGAAGTAAATGAAACAATTAAATTTATGCATTTTAAGTTCAAATTTAATGGCCCTTACTTGTTCGTACAAAGTCATTTAAATGTATCAGTAACTATTTTCAAGCTTTTAAGTTTCATTTAATTTTGTTTAAACATTTCGCAAGTGTTTACACACGAAAACAAACATTCTGTTTTTAATCTATAATAATGAGTGCTTTCATCATATTGATGCTGAAAAAACAAAACCAAATCAAAAGTACAAATTTTATACTTCTGCAAATAAGATATTGTTACAATAACAAGATTATTATTTAATTTATTTTAGATAAAAATCAATTTTTCTTTATTCTAATTCTGTAGCGATTCTACGAAAAAAAAAGTATTTTTCTACAAATATTTAAGCTAAAATAAACCTATGATATATCACAGAATTTTTTAACTAGTACCATTCCAAACTATGTAATTCCCCACTACTTAAGACTAGAGATAAATACTGGTTTTAATCATTTCAAATTATAAGTTCTACAGAAAAAGAATGCGGATTTGACCACCGGCAAAACTCGGATTCGAGTATCCGAAATCAACAAAACCTAAAATCTGCTAGAATTCCTTTAGTTTTATGATAAAAATATAAGAAAATCGTATCGTAAGTATTTTCTAATTTAAAAATGCTATCAATTACTATTTTAAACGCTAATAAATTATAAAACTTTTTTTAATTATTAAAAAAAGTTTTTATAAATATTTAAAGCTATCAGTTGAAAAACCGAGGATTAACTCAATCAATTAAACTTATTAGTGAATGAACATGAATACATTAAACTAAGAATCATTGACACGAAATATGAAAGGCCTTATAGCGTGAGAACATACGAAGATTTCAAACAACTTTCATTATCTCATATAATGATCAATATTCAAATAAAAACTCCTTAGAATAATTTCCGCTTGAAAGAATAATTGAACGATACTTGAACTTTCAATGCTATTCATTAATTGTTTTGATAATTCATTGATTGAATGGCACCAAATAGAGGACGAGAATTTTTGCAGACGAAACGAAGACCGGTATATACAAAAACGTTTAATTAACAGCAAGCAGTAAGGTGAGTGAAAGTTTCGGATAGAGTATAAGAAAGATAGAAAAAAAAGCTGTTCATTGTTGACAATGACAATCAACTACTCGACTTCACAGCCCGAAGCTAGAAGCCACACAATACCCATTATAGCTTCAACAACTCGCAACCATTATGGTCTCACGCACTCGGAATATACCTTAAATATAATGCGCAGGTAAGTTATTATTTATAACCGAGTTTGAGATTGTTAAAAAGCTATTATTTTTCCCAATAGGTTTATCAATGATTAAAAATGATTTCATCTTTTTAATATACGCCATCGTCATATCATAAAATGAAAAAGTAAGAATAATTAAAATGCATTAGAAATTGGGGACATACATTTAACTAAAGTCATTTAAATGCAGATGAAGCATAAAATTTACTAAACAGGAAAATTATACACCGGAAATACTTGGATTTTTATTATGTCAGAAAGGAAACATAAATATTAAAATAAAAACATTTTGGTTATTATTAAACTGAGAAAATATTTGGTACATCTCAACTCTAGTTTTAATTTTATATTATTTACAAATATAGTATTTTAAAAATACAGAGGAAAAAAGTTCTATAAATTGATCATATTTACTTTAACCAAGAAATAATTAAATGTTATCAATAAAAAAGTTTACATTCTATTTCTAATTAAAATTACTTTTACAGCTATTTTATGGCCTATTATTTTTACAATAGTTAAAAAAAAAAAAAANTAATAGTTTTCTTACGCTTCTGCCATCTGGCGGTGGCAACGAAAATCATTTGCGACTTGTAACGTGACCGTGCGCGTGGAACTTTGGGATATTGTCTTTTACACGTTAGCCATGGACGAGGTAAGATTGTAATTTTAATCCATATTAATCTTTGATTAAACGCTTTGTTAATACAAAATTACATTCACTGTATATAAAAATGTAGTCGAAAATTAGTTTTCGTTATAAATATTCCTACATATAACTGTAATGAATTCACATCGTGTTATTTCGATGGTGTGGTTTTAGGCCTATCGAAATTCGTTTTAAGATTTTTATACAATATTATAAAAGTAAGATCCGAGAATAAAGACTGAATAATTATGGGAAGTAATTATATATAATGGTTTTTACAGAATTTTATATTATTAATAATAATTTTCTCTGGATTGTAGTGTTTAGTGACCAGAAATCGCAGTTTTCTCGTTAAACAGAAATATGGATAATATTTAACTAAGGAAATGTGAAAAATGAATAATAATTGTTCTGTACACAATATGAAAATAAATCTTTAGACATATCTTTTTTTCTTAACAAAAGATTTTAAAAAGAAAATGGAGCTGATTTATTATTTTGCACGTTTATAAACAGTGAACAATGACTTCATATTATAAAGAGAAATTATTGTTAATTAATTAATGAATAGTTTTAAAAGTTACTATTGAATTATACTAGCATACTGAATTTATTATAACTTATTTTAGGTGTTACAACTGGTGGTATATTACTAAAATAAAATATACAGGGGGGGTGCAAAAGTAGGTACACAGTTGTTATGGAAAAAAACAAAGAAAAACATTTATTTTATGTACAAATTAAATCACAAATAAGGAATACGAACTAATAATAATGAACACCAGAGATTTGTATTTCTCAGATTCTCAACTGTATACCTACTTTTGCACCCCCTGTATATTGGGTACCAAGGTAGTAAGTAATATAATATATGTTTCTATATTCAATGGTTGGCTCAACAGTCAGAAAACGTTTCTAAATGGACTGTTGAGACTGACATCAGCGATGTTTCACTGTTGAGCTCAATGACCTGAAAGACTTGAGTATTCAAAAACTAACATGGCTAGCTTCCATGAAAAAATAAATTTCGCTTATAGAAAGTATCCATTTGCTCTTGTGGATGCTGTAATAGCAGACAGATTAATGAATGATCTATATATGATAAAATGTGATTGCACGATTATGTTAGATAATTTGGTCAATATAGTAGAACATCGATTATCCAATTCAATTGGGGACTGGGGTTGGTCTGATAACCGAAAAGTATGAAAAAATACATTATTAGTATAGTAAATTAGTACAGTGGAACCTCGGTATACGACCTTAATCCGTTCCTGGTGTTTGGACGTATACCAAACCAACCTTTCCCATAAGAAGTAATGTAAAAATGATCAATCCGTTCTCATGAAAAAAAATGGCTGGCTTTAAACACCTCACTTTTCTGGCTAGTTCGTGCTTGATTTTTCATGAGATCAGCATGTATCTTTTTAGCTTTCTTGCAAATAATTGCTTCTGATACACTCGCCAGCACACTGTTTTTCAGTTATCCAAAGCAAAAGCAATTTCTCAACATAATCTAATGTCTTCGATCTATGTTTAGAAATTGATTTAACCTCTTTCGCAACATTAGCAAATTTAATAATGTCTTAATTTTTCACGGGTGTTGATATCGTCGTTCTCGGAATACGGTATGCAACAGTTAAATTTCGAACACGCATGCCGCATGCCACCTTCATATTTCTCAACAATCTCTTTTTGCAGTTCCATTGTGATTTTAGTCATTTTTTTATTTTTCTGTTGCCTTTTTGCAATTCATGATTAATAAAAATAATAACATTTTACTTACAAACTAAAATAAAAAGAAGTTTAACAAAGTTATAAACTGTGGCACTGCGAATGTCTAGCCTGGTCTAATACACCGATAGTGCTACTTGTTCATAGATGGCGCGTATAATTGAAAAAAGTCGTATACCGAGCAAAATTTGTTTCGTCCAAACAGGACGTATTCTGAATTGGACGTGTTCTAAAGCAGACGTATACCGAGGTACCACTGTATACCCATATAATTAGTATATCGCTATTAACATACTTCGCATTGAATTTTCATCAATGTTAAGCCTAACAAAATTTTTTAAAAATAATAATCATTGCTATTGTATTGTTAAAAATTATTTTAAATTATTTTATTGCTCTCAAAACAAACAACCACTCATAATTAGAAAATTAAGCCTCATTTAAATACTGGCCTCCCTTTCATGGTTGAGCCAGTGTTGCCAGCTAAAACATGCAAAAATTTAACAAAAATAATATTAAAGTAGCCAAGACATAGCCAAATATTGTAGCGCCACATCACTAGGGGACATTTGAATTTGTCTACTAGAATGCGGTCGGTTAACCCAGTGTTTCTCAACCTCTAACGAATCGTTGCCCCTTCAACGTAGTATCGCCCCCTTCAATAAAACCGTTACATAGTATTGCCTCCTTCACTACAAAATTTTGATGCTGAGGGACAAGGCTAACACTAAATTCGTACTGCATTGAATAGACTAGTGACTAGTATAATGTTATTTGTTTAATTATTGTACGATATAACGAATAAAATATCTAATTATTCTTAATATAATGTTTTACTATATTGCCCAGAAAATTGTTTTTTGCCCCCAAAATATAAATTGTTACTAATTGCCCCCTCAACATGGAAAAATGCCCACATGGGGGCGATATCGCCTCTGTTGAGAAACACTGGGTTAACCAATGTGACTGTTGATTGGGGTCGGATAATCGATGCTCTACTCTACTCTATTTCAATACAGTGTAGGGCCATTAAGCCACAGACCAGTAATCTGCGAATTCACTTAAGCTGCACAAAGAGCTTGAATTCCAATTTTTTGACACTGGATCATACAGACCTGGACATGGCATCTCAAACACTCAAGACAGGTGTTGATATGTTTTGTTATTCTTAAATAATAATTTATTATTAATTTCAAGACCATTAATCAAAAAATATTTAAGCTGCAGTTAAGCAGTTTGGACCCCAATTACCGCAGCTTAATGGCCCTACACTATTAAGCTTTTTTTCAGAAACAAACTACCTCCATGAATTTGATTACAACCGATATTTGGCTTTCTAAGTTTTCCTAATGATATAAATATTCAAGAAATTCAAATTATTAAAGAAAGATCTAGTATAGAAGAAAATGATACAGAGAAGGGTTCATTTGAATAAAAGGATTTATTTGAATAATGGTTATGCGAGTTACTTTAATTATTTAGCAAAACAGTCACAATCATTGCCTTCTCCTTAATTAAGTCGGCCATCATGAAAAGTGCCCTTTCAACGGAAATGTTTTTTTCTACAAAACCTGATGTCAGATCATTCAGTGAAGGGACTCAATGGAAAATTCACTGTTTAGTCAACCGTTGAATATAGAAACATAAGGACAATACAGTAGCACTTTCTCAACTGTTTTAAAGAGAGAGAGATTTGATAGACATTTTCAAAACACAGAATTTTCGTCACGGATCCATATTAAAAAAAATACTATAAAAAAGAAATCATAGGACTACTTACTGCCCTGTTTGGGTTGCCATTGCTTTAAAGCTGTGGGGTATCACATTGGATGGTGGATGTGTATGAAATGTTGTATGACATCTCTTATGTATTTTCTGAGAACTTTCTTCTCACTTTTGTTTTTTTAGGCTGAACTTTGATGTCTCACATGATATAGGGCTCCTAGAATCCAGGCTGGCTTAACGTACTACTGTATTTTTAAGCCAATGCTTGGCATATGGCGTATTGAAAGTGTAATGAACATTTGTTAAAACACACAAAGTTATGATTTTCATGGTGGTATCAAAGTTGTTTTCCAAAGATATCGATTTTTATTAGAATAATCAACCTGAAAACAGTACAGTTTTTTTATATTTGATGGATAAAAGGATATTTTCACATTTTTGCCAAGTACAAGTTTTATGAAGTCATTATGTTATAAATGTCAACATAAGTATTGATAGTTCGTGATTGTTTAAACAAGGATATGTTGAGATGATTACATTAAAAATTATTTCATTAAATTTTATTACTTCATTAAAAAATGCTAATAATTTAATACACACCCTACCCAACCATCAACCGTAATAATCAGGCAGATTACAAGCAACAAACATTAAATTTGGAATTACCGTAGAGCAGGGGTGGCCAACACGTGGCGCATGCGCCAAACTTGGCGCATTGGACGATTACAAGTGGCGCTTCAGTCGTTTCCGAGCAACGTTGCCAGGTTCGGTTTCATTCCATACACGATTCGGTGTTTTTTTTTTTTTTTTTTTTCCTGTACGTTACACGATGCATTCGTGACCATGTACACCACTGATGTCATATAGAACTACTTTGTACGGGTAGTGTAGCTACCCGTGTAAGATAGTTCTCTTATAAATTGTAGATTATAAATAGTTTCTTCTTATAAATTGAAATACCTAATTAACGGGTGGCTGAAATTTTTCTCCGCCCCGGGCTGCTAACACTCACGGTACGCCACTGCGCATCTGAACTCGTCTGTCAAAAAATTGGCGCATGGTATGCAAAAGGTTGGCCACCCCTGCCGTAGAGCATTGTTTATCCAAAAACCAGTCAACTGAAACGTCAGTTAACCAAAAGTGTTCCAGTCAGCAAATTTGAATTTTCGCTATTGCTGTGGTGCTGCAACCTTTGGCTGTCTTGGGCTACTCCAATATTTTTTTTGGTTGGTGTGTGTGTTTTAGCTGGCAGCACTGGCACATTTGTGTGGTGCTGAATCGAACATTTTTGATACTAGATTAACTTCTAAAGTATACTTTTTTTGTTTTTATATTTTTTAATAATAAATAATTTTTAACAATACAAATAGCCATGATTATTATTATGAAAATTTTTGTTTGGCATAACATAGATGAAAATTTAACGTGAAGCATCATGCAACGGAGAAATATTTAAACATGGGCTAGGTCAGGCATGGCCAGGATCCAGCCCGTCTAATGAATTTATGTGGCCCGCGATTAATCTTTCAATATTAGCTACTTAAGTC